ATGGGGAAGTAAAACGATCTCAGAAAAGGAGTGCAGTATCAGCCTCGGGCGTGATTCAATTTATTTTCAAACTGTTTTTGGCCGTAAGTCAACAATTGATCGAATTTATTTAATTATTTAAATTTAAGTTTTTAAATTTTCGTCACATCTTATGGTGACCTTTACTCAGCTATGAGGTGGGTCAAGGCAAATTGTGCCGCATCGCATGACGACACCAAAGCACAACGCTGTCCCCGTTATTCACAGGTCAACGACCTGGTACCATTTTCTCAGCTGCTTAAACCGAAGCACAATGGGAAGAATTCCTCGCTCAGAGGAATTGGCAGTTGAGAGAAAATTCACGCCTCGCATTGCGTTTCAGCTCACACTCTCAGGATACAAAGCAATCTACTAACCAGCAGCGCCACTGCCCCTTGAATATGGAATATTATGAATATCTGATTTCATCATCAGAGACCAATTGCCATTAGCTCATTCACGTGACCGTGAAGGTATTACTGACCGTCAGGTAACTAACATGAAACGCGTCGGCATACAGTAAAAGGTTCTTTCTCCGTGGGTGCTTATTACAATTTGACTCAAGCCGTAAATCAAAAAACGCGACATTCAATGTCACTATTATGCATGAAAATCAATCTCTGCAACCGCTGTGTAAACGATGGGAGATCGGTCCGGAGAGAATGTGCTGAATTTTCCAGGATGCCATCCTCTCCATCCTTCTTAACGTATGTGAGAATTGGGATCTAACAGCTCAAGACTCGAAGAAACCCAGATTCCTTCGGCCACTGGTGCATACAAATCATCTGGCGGACATGATTTATCGACTACATATCCGACACCATAATTCAAGCCCCTTGCAACATCGCTCCGCTTCGTACTGTCCTGACAGAACGGCGGCACGTGACTGAGGCACCTGCTGAGGTGTCCACCAGACGAATCACCCATATTTCGTCGAATTTTGTCGCAAGTCCTTGATGGCACTGCTCCAGAAAAGAGACGGACGAATTATGACCTCGCGAGGTTCGGTCAGAGCTAACGTTGAAGTACTCTCTGAGCGGACAGTGTATATGTACAGATGCGGAAAGAAAGACTGTCTGAACTTGGGGATGGTCAGTGCGCATGATCGACGGAGTTAGAAAGCGGCGACCGGGACATTGCTGGAGGTGATGATGAGGCCTAACGATAATAGCAGTTCAGGTACTCTGAGTTAACCAGTAAACTGCCAGTTTTCAGTACCGCCGGTAACAATTACAATCTCCTCTCATTTTCACGCAGCATCGTCCGCTTGATACGTGAAATTATTGCATTACTGTAACCTTATTTTCTAGTTGAATGAACGTAGTTATGAAATAGATTTTTAAAACGCAGACCCTCATAACCTATAAGAGCACGTGTTGAAACTTAACTTAAATTTTAGACTTGATTTAAAGTTCATGTTTATACCACATTCGTCTCATATCCGAGCACGGCAACCGCTACCTCAAAGTGAAGTTTGTTTTTTACACCGATTGACTTGAGATCGGTGTTCGATTTACGGACAATTTAGTTTCTGCCTGAGGCCGAAGCGGTAAGCGGCATGTTTTTACTAAATACTCGTTGAGGTTTTTTCAGATTTGGCAAAGTACGGATGATTTCTCCATCAACGATTTGCATGACATGTAGAATACGTTCGTCTGTCCTTCAAAACCGGATTCCGCAGCATGTTGTGTGCATCTTCTTAATTTTAATTGCCTAGACGGTCGCTTAAGACGACAGCAGCTGCAGCGCGTTCAGCAAGGGTAGTACCATATGCAATGACATCTGATTTGTGGAGAAGTAACTAAAAAAGCAAATGAGGTTGTGCCACTATCAATGCATGACTGCCGTCTCCGCCCACTTACATTCATTAGCGTCCACCGTGTAAAGACACCTCCTTCAATTTATGCCTTACATCTGCAGTTAAACAGTGCATGACTCATTTTCAATTTATCATGGATGGATGGGACGGCGGTATGCCATAAACCCACTTTGCAGAAATAATGATCTTACTAACGTACCCTGTCATTCCGGACATTCTTTACTGGTTTTGTTTGGTAGTGAGCGGGCCTAATGTCGATTTGCACGCTCGTTTGTCGCGTACGACGTTTTTCCACCAACTTCCATATCTTGTTTGCATTTATATGGTCCTATTTTGACCGAAACTTTCAAATTGGGCGCTTGCAACCCTTAGGTACCAATTGGCCAGTGCTGAAGTTCCCTGCACCTCGATAATTAGTGCGATACGACCTCACATTGTCATTTTCTTTCTTCTGAAACCAATAAGACATTTTGCATTCCCGTGTGCCTTGTAATTTATTCATTTTGTAGCGTTTCTCTGAAGGAAACACTTAGCATCCATCAGTCCTTCGCCCGTTGCAGCACTCCTAAAGATTCTTCATCCTTTTTCGTTAATGCCTAAATCTCACAGCCATGTACAGTAATCGGCCATACGTTGAGTCCATGTAATACGCTTCTAACTGCAATAGACACTTTTCTGTTTTCAAGAATTTTAGCGTTTTTTCTGTACATACACAACATCGCACAATGCCATCCGGCGAGGGATTGACATGGTTATGGACCTGTCCGAAGTAGTCATATTTGATGACCTTTTCCATTTGGTCTTCTATTACTATGTCCCGTCCTAAGAACCCAAATTTCTCCGTAAAGGTAATTTACAATCTCATTCGCAGCAGGTTCTACGGACACATATCTACGCCCTATACTTTCTTATTCGTTGGTTCCAGGGTTGATTTAAGGAGACGCCTTATATATTGAAAATATCGGTCGAATTCCTTCGGCCTTTAATCATTAATTAGTCAGACATTCACATGATCTATGCCCAGAAGTGATCGTACGATGTTGACTTGAAAGTCTATGAAGTGCAACAGTTGCGATTCACAAGAACAAACATGTCCCCTGAGAGACTTGACTATTTACCGTATAGCCGGAACAAATTGAAATCCTTGAATTAAATTGCTCATCACAAGTGCGGTTTCTGAGAAAAGAAACTCTATTAACTGATAAATTAAAAATATTTCGATTTACAATGTGTGTTCTGTTACGAATTAAAAGTCTTGTTCCCCCTCTTCGCTAAATGCGGTATTCCTTGTTCACAACATTCAACTATCTCTCATTCTCACATCTACTGAACAAAACTGGTGTGCTTTCTTCCGCAGTGCTGTCAAGTTTCTGTCATTGCAGTGACAACCAGATAGCTACTCTTTCAATCACCTTGCGGATTTTCCTAGTCATCAGGAATATGCACCAAATCAGTGAAATTATTGGGGGGGGGGAATTTTCCCTTCATACCGTTAACGTTTTGAAGGAATGATAATGAC